TTGTTTTTGCGAATTATTTGGTTGTTAATATTTACATTCAAAATTCTTCTATTTATGTGAAAAAATACAGATAATCATTTAACTTTTATAAATCCGAATCTGAAGCAGGAGTTAAGAGGAGTAGAAGTAGACCTAGATTAGATTATTGTTCACAAATAGTTAAGGGTGCGGGATGTTCTAGTTTTAGGGAAATGCGAAGATTAGCTCTGAATCAGAAAAAGTGGAAGTACGTGTCCAACTAATCTTAACCCTGACTACCTTATGATGATGACGATAAAATCCGAATCTGAACATCGTCCGGTAGTACAGTGGAATTCGTTTATTATGACTCCGCCAATACTGACCAACCGCTTAATATGAACTAATTGTAGTGTTAAGTTTGCTTTTCATATTAAATTCTCTATAGGAAAGTTTGGATATAATGACTCCGTTTAAAATGACATATCGTTTATTATGACTGATTCTTAAGAAATCATATCTGGCTATAGAGATCCAAATAATTAATAATAACATTTTCGCTCATTTTTCTGACCCTTCTTATGTATATTGATGTTACAATTCATCTTTCTTTTTCTGTTAGTAAATATATACAATTTGTAGCTTTTCTCTCTATTAAACTAAATAACTAACCAAAATAGAAAGTTATTTATTTTCTAAGACTACGTTTTGTATGATGCCCATTTAGGTTTGTCATTTCCCTTCGATGTCATTATAAGCGTATTCTACTATAACCAAAAGAAAAAAAATACGACGAAAATTCTTTCGAAGAAATTCAATTTCATGTCTAATAACGAAAATAAAGTACTAAAAAGTATAAGAAATTATTTAGAGGTGCCCCCGCTAGCGATCTCGTATTTTTCTTATAAAAAGAAAGGAATTATTTTTAGGATCTTAAGACGGCCCTGATTTTAATGAAGTAAATTGTTAATTAGGTGACCCTGGACAAAATATTAGATGTATATACGCTTCTCCGAAACTATTGGCTGATTAAGCAATTATTGCAAGAGATGTCCTTACAAAGTATAAAACAATATGTGACAATATCCAATTTTTTTCAAGTAAACAAATGTCTGCTTGTTGATTTGCACATAAATATAAAGAGCAATAATGTTATTAAATGAATTTATAAATTCAATTAGTGTATTATTGATTACTAGTTACGTATAATGGCTCTGAAATATTGTATTTTGACTATGTTAGTTGTTTCTATCATACTTTTTTTACCGGTACGTTATTATTTTTTTGTTTTTTAATTCAGTATTGTGCAATTTTTAATTTATTTTAGGCCTTTTGCAATAGTTCGATCCTTAAATCACACCATTCAGAAAATGTGATTAAACCAGTTCTTCCTTCAGATGCGTAAGTAAATTATTTTAATTAACAAGGATATGTAAGCATACATTTTCATATTTTATTAAGGAATGTTCTAAAATTTGAATCAATTTATTAGACATCTAGTTCGAACGGGTTCAACTAGTGTATGAGACTTTAAAAATTAATGTCTACTTAAAGTTGCTTTGTTTGAGTGGTTTTCGTTGTATTTAAATGTTAAATAATCCATTATTTCGTTAGAAATTACCTCAGTTTATGTATTATTTGCTTTCAATGATATCTGTAACTTTGTTTGTTAAGTAGCAAACAGATTAACAATTATTATTGTTGTTTCATGAATATTCCAATCGCTGTACAAAGAATCAACTATCTGTAATCGATAATGTTTATAACGTAAACAAAGAATTTCATTGTTTTACTTATTGGGCAATTAACTATATGAAATCCTATGACATTGTTAGTTACTTAATAGTGGATTAATATGCAATATTAATTTGAAATCATTTTTTCGATTTTTTATTTACCCTCGACAAACTACCTCAAATTAATGAGGGAAAAATTGTTGCTGTTATCACACCCGGTGTGATTTAATATATATATAATTAAGTTAATAAAAATTGACGGATCGTTAACTTTGTAGGTCGGTTGGTCGTGGTTGCTGTTGTCACCTCTCGTAGTTTAGTGGTCAGAACATTGGTGCGTGAAGCCAGAGGTCCCGGGTTCGATTCCCGGCGGGGGTGTGACAACAGCAACAATTTTTCCTTCATTCGAACAATCGAAAAAAAGATTGCAAATTAATATTACATAAAACCTATTGGGGTTCCACACAAATCGGGCAAGGAGAAGTCTGTAATTGTTTATATCAAAAGTATGGCGTAATTTAGAATACTTCGTTGAACTAAAATTGTTTTTTAATGTTCAGTCATTATAGTTTAATAGAAAATTGTTGGCTTCTTATATCATAAGTGAGTTCTTTGTTCGTTTTTCTGGCCCTATTATTAAAAGCTCTTAAACGCATGAATAATCTTGGAAAAATCTGATTGGCATGCAAAAATTTGACTCGCGAGCTTAATTGTTTTTGTTTCTTTATTGCACGAAAATATTTGAAGATTATCACGTCGGCAGTGCTAATGTTGATTTTTATTTCTTTTTTTTTTTTCGGGAAAAATACTTTTAATGTCGGTGTTTAGNGTATTTTATAAGAGACTAATATTTCTTACATATCGTATGATCGTGGCTGTTGGATAAGATAGAATAAGAATAAATCGAATGGTCTTCATAGTTTTAAGAAGAACGCGGAAGACTTAGATCAGTGCATCAGAAAAACTTCTTCGTAAAAATACTTTCTACTAGGTGTTTATAATAGACCTTTAAAATATATATTCACTTACCGTTTTCTCGAAAATCAATTGCTCTATTGACGATTGTTTGGTAGACATCTGAAACATAAACAGACCTATGTAACATATATAGTTAAACAATTGGTAATTAAGGTATTTTTATTTTAAAGCAATTATTTATGGGGCCCGAAGGGGGTGGTGGTGGGTTGGATCGGAAGAGGAGGCTTCCCCACCACTGTACCATAAAAAGTTCGTGGCGGTCTCACCCCCATAAAAAGTTATGGGGGTTCAATGTTAATAAATATGCCAATTTTTATACATTTCTAGGCATGTAAATATTTATATAGTCATTCTTAAACAATATTCAAAGTTAAAACTAATGAAAAATACATAAAAATATTGAGAAAGTTATATAAAACATTATTTAAATATATTTATCAATAGGGTAGGTTAGGTTACGTTATCGGGTTTTGTTCAAGTGACCACCCTTTTTTGATTCCCCGCCTCCACCTGCTTGAAAATATTTTTTTTTTATGAATTTTATTTGAATTATAGCGTATGAAAATTGTCAAAATAATCTACTTTCAACACCCATAACTTTTTATGGGGGTGAGACCGCCGCAAATTTTTTATGGGGTTTTACTGAGGTGGCCATCCTGTTTCGATCCCCCTTAACATTTTATGGGGGTGAGACCGCCACGAACTTTTTATGGTACAGTGGTGGGGAGACCTCCTCTTTCAATCCCACCCACCCCCGATGGGGGTGGAGGCCATCATCTAGACATTTACCATTTATGGAATTAATTAGTTAAGAAGCACCTAACGAAGTCGAGTACAGACTTTATACAGTCTGTAACAGTGATGAAAGTTGTTTAAATTGACAAAAATTGATGGCTTTTTGTTCATAATTTTATTGCAACAAATTAGGCGAGAAGTTTTCAGAAACTTTCACTTCCCATTAAATTATTCACACGATACATAGATTATGTACACATATGATTTTTATTTTATAATCTAGGAACAAAAAGCACCCTCACGCATTTGTCATTCGAGGTAGCTGTTTGAGATAATTATATTAGAAGTGAACAGAGGGGTATATCTCCAAGGCTAACTGCTGTGAAACAACATTTACCATATATTCTTTAAAATTGGCCCTAAAAAACAGCCCTTGTAATTACAAAACTCGATTATTATTACAATATTTTTTAATTTTATGTTAAAACAGAGTGAAATGAGGTGCTACATTACTCGGAATAGTTTATGGTTTGGAAATTAGTATGGTAGATATAGAAATTCATTAGGTAAATTTAATGTTTATTGCAACTTTAGAAATAAAACATTTTATGCGCCACGTAATTTGTAACACATATAGATAAATAGTTGCAGATTGGGAAATTTGTTAGATATATAAGTCAGTTAATCCCATACTGTGTAAGGACTTATTACATTAAGCGTGCAGGCTATAAAACGTTCTTTACATCAGGAGTACCTACCTACTAACATAATATTTTTTTTGCGCTTGTTTATTTCGCAAATAGTTGTTTACACGTCGTTAAATTCTTTAGCAAATTTTAATCTCTTCAATCTGGGAACTTAGCAAATGCATGACCTCATTTCGTTCCTGTTCTGTTGGTACGTACGGTACCAGCAGAAATGGAAATTTATTGTAGATGATCTTCTTGCAGTTTATTAGACCGTTTACATATTTTTCACAAGGTTAACAGGTAGAATAGATTGTAATACACATGCATATTTAATTTTTACGTTCTACAGGCAATTTTATTTGCTATTAATTCTTTTGTAACCTTCACTGGTATTATCGACTGTAGCTGTTACGATTTTCCAAGTTGCAAGAAATTTATGAAATGCTCCATTTGTTTAGGGTGCTGCTTTGTAAAATGAAAAAACCTGATATCGTGGTTTTTATTAATAATACATAGATACGGAGTAAAAAAAGATAGTATAGTTAGGACGATCAAAATTGGCAAAGTCCGCATAAAATTATCTGCGAGAATGGACGCATCTTCTTTCTTGTTTCCACTTGGGATTGTAGTCATTTGCTGCGTTTTGAACATGCTCTTGTTATAAAATAATTCGAAGTGGTCTGTATTCTGTCGAAACTGCCAGACGCGGATCGCGGTTTCGATTTTTCTGGATCTCATCAGCGCGTCGCAGACAGCTCCGACAGAACACAGACCAACTTTTACCTGCTGTCTTAACAGCGCGTTTTAGAAAATACCACAAATGGCGCGGTAAACGCCATCTGTAGTACGATGCTACATTTTAGGACGTGCCTATCACGTTGAGGTTAGCTACGCCGGGATTCGTTTCAGCAAGTAGATATCCATATATTTAAATGGACCTTGTTGGAGCATACGTAATCCTAAAATGTAGCATCGTACCACAGATGGCGTTCACCGCGCCATTTGTGGTATTTTCTAAAACACGCTGTTAAGACAGCAGGTAAAAGTTGGTCTGTGTTCTGTCGGAGCTGTCTACGACGTGCTGATGAGATCCAAAAAGATGGAATTATTTTATTTTATTTTATTGGTGTAATGTTATTCCTTATTCTTTGTTGACGTCCGCTGCAATTCCTACCTGACATCTCTTTTCGATGCTTTGCGATATTCCGTACGTCTGTCGTGAGTAAAAGTAGGCGTTCTGCCAGCAGCCGCTTTAGTCTAGTTAGTAAGTTCACAGAAGAAAGTAAATGTGACAGTTTTATTGTCAATTTTGAATGTCCCAGCTATATCTACAGTCAGCACGCCAAGATTGGGGTGTGTGTTGTCTCTTTCTCGCATTAGCCTCTTACGTTCCCTAATGTTGAATATTTTGGAACTTATTATGTTATAATCACACTTAACCAGTCCTTCTACTGCAAAAAAAAGATAGAAAGGAGTGGAAGTACGTGTTTTTAGACCAATATCCGTTTGCTAGTGGTTTGGTTACCATGCTTACATAGAAATAGTAATCACTTTGAACATTGTACAATGAAATTAATAGTACGCAGTACGAAATTGTGAGGTAAACAGTGATAGTAATTCTGTATGCCGTAAGCAATAAGCGAAACTTATTATGCAATCGAATATTTCGTAATTTACGTGATATTTCAGGAAAAACCGAAGTTCAAAAATAACTTTCCTAATCATATCAGATTAACAGCCGTTTCGTATTGTTTAACAAACACGACTAAAATACTGCATATTTTTGGGCTTCAATGAATTATGTCTGTACACAATTAACGAAAGAAAATTAAATGCTGAAAGCTGTTACGTAAATGTACACATATGAAGTTGTTAAGATTAGAACTCCAATAAGTATCCTTTGTGAATTACGTTATATGAATAAAAAAAAACTACTTTTCATAAAATTGTTATGGTTTTCTGCCGGTTCTGTTAAAACGAATTTTTAGGAAATTGAAGATAAGCAACTTGAAAAATAATTTTTATCAGATATGTTATGTCATGTGAGAGATACTTCAAAAGGAACTCAAAACGTTTGTGCTTACATTTTAGATGTCATATTTACGTAGAAAAAAAAACTTTTGGGTGTTTCAATTCCACCAGCCACTAATGCTGGTGGGCGGGCAGTCAGATGGTAGGAAGGAAGGCCCCCTTTAGCCTCCTTTCAGAAATGGTGGTTCGGGTGAGAAAGATGAGACGGACAGAAGAGAATGAAAGATTATCTGTGGAATAATACTGCCCTCACATTTGCCTAAGTGATCCAAGGAAACCACAGAAAAACTTGGACCAAGGTAGATGGACCCAGAATCAGACTGGCGTCCTCCCGAATGCTAAGCAATTATCTAAACCTCTAGGGCCTCTAGGCCATGCCGCTCGTAGATACTACCCAAAGTATATCCTAAAGTATGGCTCCTCTTCATTTCCAAAACTACTTTTATGAAGATAGTTAACAGAACATTACAGAAAAATTATAACGATTTATGTCTTTGATACCCACCGATAGAAATATGTGGTTTATGGCAAAGAAGTTGAAAAACAGTTAGTCAACCTTAAGCCAATATAAACAAAGCACCTGGCAAACTGAAAAGAATCAAGCCAAAATTTTACAAATTGATACTTGCTACGCGACAAGACAGGCCAATTTATGAATGTTGTGTCCTATTGTTTAGACATCAATGAATACATTTCGATCAATTTGATGTACAATAATAAATGTGAGACATGTTTAAAAATAAGTGAGTTATTTAATTTTGAAATCGCCCATTTATTTCTTGCCTAAAGCTAACTTAAGAATTTTCTGTTAACAGAAATTTCTTTCTATTTTTTTAAAGATGCGGTTCGGATTTTTCCAAGTCGATTAATACCTGAAAAGATTTAAATTATACAAAGGGCCGACATATGTCCCAAGATAACAATATAAGACTTTCTAGTTGAAAGCTAGCAATTTCATTAGGCAAACGTAGGTAAATAAAATCAATCAATATGTCGCAGTGAATTACAATAAATTGGCCAGGCATATCTGCTCAAGCAATTCTAGTTTTAATACCGGCTAACTATATAGTATTTGTACATACTTACAGGACTACATCGAGAATAACCTCAAATTTAATTAATTGTTACCTATATTAGAATTTTTAAGTCGTAAATGGATAGCTATTAATCACAATATAAGCAAATCAGAAACTTTTATTAAGCTGCTGTTATATCTTCATCGTCCAGTAAGCACTGTTTTCTTAAGTTTTTCAAAAACGCCGGAAAACAAGATGCTTCTCTGACCTTGGAGAGACCGCGTGACGTCACGATACTGTCGGTAGTCTCTTTTACACTTACTTAGATGCGGCAATCATCATTATTGCATTATCTTTGATTAATTTCGATTATTTATTGGAGTTAACATAAGTTATAATTTATAAAGATGTTAACTAAGTATAAGGCTGCAAACAAGTGAAGAAAACAAACAACTGAATAAATAAATTGCAAGTGTTTTTCTTATGACTCCATATTTACTTATATAATCAATATAATTACCCCCTTACCCCTTACGTTTTTAAATAATAGACGATTTTCTCGACACAAATTAATGTTAGGTAAATTTACTTGAAAAATCTTTTACCCCTGACACGTTGCAGGTTAATGGAATCGTATAGAAAGCAAACCTGATGATAAACAATCTCTTTTTTAATTTCGAAATAAAACACTTAATGTGTCTACTATCTGTCATTCACCATATAACACACCTTGACACATATTTCCTACGGTAAACGTCTCTGGCGCCCACTTTTTGTTTTCTTATGTTACTTACCCTTAACTCAAGTCAACTAAACTGTTAATTTGAGCCAAGGTTGGACGGACGTTGCTTCCCTGCTTTTTTTTTAAACATATACGCTTGTACATTCGCTTATCCTTTCTGTTAAATCTATGTCAGTGGGCCTAAGTCAAAAATATTGCGCTAAAAATACACGAATACACCTCGCGATAATAACACATTTGCCGAAATAAAATTCGCGTGACCTTAAACAAAAAACTATATCCACACGCGATCGAAGAGATAATTGTTGTTGTTGCTGTTAAGTGCAAGAAGTCATTGAGTGACATGTGGCGGCAGCGCGAAATAAAACTAGGACATAAAAAAATAGCGGACGTACGTTTGGTAATTGCCTGATAGTTTCTGGCCAGGATGATTGAAAAATTGAAAGATTATTTTTAAAGAAAACAAAATTTGCGATCTATCCGTGGACTTAGAGAAACATTACCTTGGGCTATACCGACAATGATAATATTTTAGTAACACTTAAATGTAGATAGTAGCTTTATTAACAAAATTGTTGCTTTATATGTGTCAATATCATGCGTTTCGTTTTTTCTCTCTCCTTGTTCTTTTCCTTATCCATATTGTCAAGGGCGGCCTTTGGGGGTGGCGAACAGGGCAACCGCCCGGGGCCTCGCTCTTGCAGGGGCCTCGCACACTCGCACAACAATCTAATTAGAGAAATATTAGGTAGTAATAGTACGTACTACTAATGTTTATTTGAATTTCTTAATAGTTTTAAAAGAAGCCGCAAATTTGCTATCTTTGTCTTTATCAATTTTTTTTAATTTTCGATAAACAATTTTAAAATTGTAAACTTTGCATTTTTCAAGTATCATCATTAAAATTAATTCCACAAAGACGAGGGCCCCGCAAAAATTTACCCGCCCGGAACCTTCCAATGAATAAGGCCGCCCCTGCATATTGTATTCAACATTCTTGCATGAGATCCTGGGTCTGTGATCTGCTGGATCCAACTTTCTTGATCTTCTCCCGTGTGTTCTACGACATGTAGTGTTTCCTCCACTTTCTTACACATTCTGCATAGTTTTTCCCTTTCTGGCAGCCAATACTTATTAGTTTTCGCTTCTGATCTTACCCTGAATCTTGCATATATCTCCAGTTATGTTCTGTTCTGCGTTTATGTCCCTCTTTCAAGTATTTCCGTTTATTGATTGGGTTGATTTCTTTGTATTCCTTTGCGTATTTCTCTGAATTTAGTTTTTTCTCTAGTTTTTGTCTGTCTTGTTCTTTTTCTTTTTATTTCGTATCTTCCATCTTATGAGTAACTTCAAGCTTTGAAATCGAATAATAGGGTGATTTAGTTGAAATACTTATTATAGATTATTTCTCATAGGAGTTAACTGGTTTTGTTATTTTGTTCGTTTGCATTTCTATTTTGTTTTTATTGATCAAATAGGTGTAACTTTGACTTTTTGTTTCAGCTTTAACGGTGAGATTCCTTACCAAAAGGTACATAGGAGAGTATGATCATCAAACAGGTGAGTATCGTAAAAATATGTTTCTCACCAGTCCTAAGACTGGTTAGACACGCACCTCCACTCTTTCCTATCCTGAGCTAATCTTCGCATTTCCCCAAAACTAGAACATCTCACATCCTTAACTATTTGTAAGCAGTAATCTAATCTAAGTGTACCTCTACTGTTCATAACTTCTGTTACTGCTTCTGATATATCTCTAATAAGCCCTTCATGCCTGAGAAGGTTTCCTACTAACCTATTTCGTCTATTTCTTATTGACTTCCATAGTGACCTCTGTTCTCCTATTCTTTTTAATACTTCCTCAATTTTTCGTCGTCATCATCATCATCATAAGGTCGTCAGTCCTAAGACTGGTTGAACACGCACCTCCACTCTTTCCTATCCTGAGCTAATCTTCACATTTTCCCAAAACTACAACATCCCACATCCTTAACTATTTGCGAACAGTAATCTAATCTAGATCTACCCCTATTCCTCTCAACTTCTGTTTCTGTTTCTACTATGTCTATCACTAACACTTCATACCTGAGGAGGTATCCTACCAACCTATCTCACCTATTTCTTATTGACTTCCGTAGAGTCCTCTATTCTCCTATTCTTTCTAATACCTTTTCACTTCTAACCTTCTATATCCATGATATCCTCAACATTCACCCATAATTAATAATTAGTTGCTTTTCAATATTTCAGGCCTATTTCTACCCAACTAAATCTTATCATTTGTTTTAAATGTATTATTGATAACATTATAGCAATTCTATCATTCATAAACTCACAAGTGTTTAAATCTAAAGTAAGCAAAAGTAAAAGAATTTTGTTTACTATTCTCATAGTTTCCAGTAGTTTTATAATTAGAAGTTGTATATTCATTCAAGTTAAAGTGTGTTCAAATATACAATAAATCTATCTTGAATATGTGTACTCCTTGGCTTGATTCGCTTCGTGAATGTATTTTATTGGCGAGTTCAAAAATCTTAAAGTATTATAAGTACGTATTAAATTAATCAAAGTTTTTAAAAGTTTTGGGACTCCTTTTATAAAGCATGACAGTATTAGTTGTTTAAAATTTGTAATGTATATCTAAATAGCTCTCAAAAATACTAACACCTCTGAAAGCAGAATATTGATTACAACCTACTTCGCTCTATATTGGCAAAATTTGAGATTCAAATAACGTAAAACTGATGCAGAACAAAGACAAAAGTCTGTTATTTTTTTCATTAATCCTTCAGTAAACAATCATAAACATTGTTCTATAATTTGCTTTCTTTGGGAAGCCTTGATTTCTAATCGAATTAAGTATTTTTATCTTTAACAAGCACGTGTGGTAAGGTGGGAGTTGGGCTACTATAAATATTTGTTTTATAAGCAATAAAAGTGTCACTTAAGTGTGATTATTGTATGTAAAAAAAAATACGATCACGTTGCATAGTCCCTTACATTTTCGGAAAAGTCCATCATTTTCATGCAGTTAATACAATTATTGGAAAGAAACTGTAAATCAACGTGAGTTATAATGGCATTACAAATTAATTGAAAAACAAGTTGTGGTATAGTAAACATCGGTCTATCTGTCAGCCATTTTACAAAGTGTACTGCGCCATTTCTTATTTTTTAGTGTTTACGATCACTTACGATTAGTGTTAAAAGAAATGTTTTTTTGCGCTTCTTTAACCTGTGAAAGTTCAATATATTCTATGTTCTTTTTCAATTTTTTTCAGAAACTAAGTACAAACATGAAGTGTTAGTCGACGGCGATCCTATACTGTTCGAAATTTTTGATACATGTCCAAAGGTAAGATCGCTTTATGTACATGAAATGGTAATTAAATTAACGTTTTGCAACACCTTTTATACTAAAAAAGACTGGTATGGTTGGGACGATAAAAAGTGGCAAAGTCCGCTATAAATTATTATTATATTTATTATATTATTATAAATTTTTTTTCAGTGTCTACTGGAATTCCTACGTGACTTCTCTTTTCTACGTATACGATATTCCCTATAACGTCTGTCGTGAATAAAAGTAGACGTTCTGTTAGCAGTCGCTCTAGTCTAGTTAGTAAGTTGAAAGAAGAAAGCAAATGCATCCGTTTTATTGCGGACTATACCAATTTTGAATGTCCCAACTATACAGCAATACATTCCATCCTGACTTCTCTGACTTCCTAGGTACCGAAAATTAGTCACTTCTTCTAATTTTTGTTTCCTATCTTTATCTACTTGAGTGATATGTCTTTAAATTGGCGTTCCTTAAATGCGTAGAGGTTTAGACCATTGCTTGGCATTTGGGAAGACACCGGTTCGATTTTGGATCCATGTGCCTCGCTTCTGTGTGTTTATCTTGGATCACTTAGGCAAATGCTATAGGGCAGTAATATTTCACAGTTAATCTTTCACTCTCTTCTGTCTTTATTTCGTTCGTCTCATCTTTCTCACTCCAACCACTAACCGTCCAGTCCTACTTAAGTGGGTCTTGTCCTAGAGGTTTAGGCCATTGCTTAGCATTGGGGAGGACGCCGGACGCTCGTGCTGGGCCAGTAATATTCCACAGATAATGTTTTATTCGCTTCTGTCTTCATTTCGTCCGTCTCATCTTTCCCCTTCCTCCCTTCCTTCCTTCCTACAATTCCCGAAAGGAGGTTAAAGACGGCCTTCCGCCTTACCTTCCGGCGTAGTCCGGAAGGACTGCCCGCCCACCAGCTTTATTGGCTTGTAGGTATGAAACACCCAAAAGTTTTTTTTTAATTTCTGACGTAGTCTGGAGGGACTTCCCACCCAGCAGCTTTAATAGCTGGTAGGAGTAAAATAAGCAAAAGTTGTTTTTACCTCTATATGCAACAAACAGTGTTAATGCCATGCCCCTTTATAAAATACTATATTCTTCCCTAAAATCAGGAATAATATTTTTTTTTGGGGCAGTAATATTGTCAAAAATTGTATACGGCCCACCAAAAAAAAAAGTATGCCACCCCTTTCCGAAAGTTTGCCGCCGTCGTCTACGCTATTTCTCACCCCAGAGGGAATGCTGTATTTTCTTCCTTTGATGCCGTTTAATTTCAACTTTTCCATCAAGAAGTATTTGTTTTCAAAGTTGTTCTACGTCCTGCCTCTTGCTTTAAACTAAAATATTTGTAAGGGTTTTTGAAAGAAGTTTTTCTGGTTACTACTTTTAATAAAGATTATAACGAACTTTTAGAAATAACTCGTTTTTTTTTGCATTCTCTTTCCATTCCTAAAGAAGGCTACCAAAAATTTTGGGACAAGCTCTTGAGGGTAGGTTTTTTATTGAGAGTATGGTTTCAATTATTTTTTTTTTATTTACCTACATAATCAACAATTAAAATATGTATATAATTAGAACTCCATTTCGTGTACAAAACCAATTATTAAAAAGTTGTGTTGTGTTAATGTTTTGACCTACAATAAAAACTTTAAAACGTCGTCACGCGAACGCATGCGAATTTAATGGTTTTTTCATTCTTTTTCTTGACTGCTACTGCTTGTGAACTTGTAATAAAACGACTTTTGTGTTTTTCTTGTATAATTCGAGTCACCTTATTTAAAAACAATGCATGATACATGACCTTTGTGTACCAATATCAAGGCCCCTGTAAAAGTAAAACTTTATTAATAGTCGTCTTGTAATTTCGGAAATATAAATAATTTAGATGGAACATGTCCAAAGTTTGCACTGCGTTGGTCTCTTCCAACCTACCAACGGCATAACACTGTTGTCGCTGACAGTGGTAAAGACGAAAATATGTCTGCATGTTTAGATAGTAGAATTCTTTAATACGTTTTGGCAAATGTTGACTCGTACGTCACATCCAGACTACAACAGTACAAGTCGTGTTAGAGACAGATAAATAATTTATCGAGTGTTTCTCAATGTTAGACAATTTTGTCTTTAAGTTTAAACAAAAAGACCTGCTGTACATGTTTGCCAAAAATGGTATTAGTTTTGCGATTTCTTGTTCAAATTTAGCTTTCATTTGCATCTGTCTGTCTGTGTGTATGTCATATCCGTCTCAACCTTTCATTAACACAAGCAGTATGATGAAGCTAGGATCACTAAAAACTGAAATGAGATTCTTGAAAAATACCAGGTATTTTATCTTAAATCAGATCTTGTATAGTGTATCTAACAACAGGTATTTTAATACTACTATTATGTTTTGGGTTAGAGTAAATCCGTCGGAAATATCTCAATGAGTTCCTAAGTGGTCTGTAAATTTAGTCCTTAGGACTTTTATTACCGTATGTATGCTCGCGAACGGTTAATTTAGAAATTCGAAAAAGGTTGTCAAAGGTATGTTTGGAGCACGGCGTTGTATGGGTGCGAAACATGGACAGTGGACGCGGCGGAAAAGAAAAGGTTAGAAGCGTTCGAAATATGGTGTTATAGGCGGATGATAAGGATAACGTGGATAGAAAAGGTTAAAAATGCAGAGGTATTGGAAAGAATAGGAGAACAGAGGACTCTATGGAAGTCAATAAAAAATAGGCGAGATAGGTTGGTAGGACACCTTCTCAGGCATGAAGGTCTAGTCAGAGACATATTAGAGGCAGAAACAGGAGTTAGGAGGGGTAGAGGTAGACCTAGATTAGATTACTGTTCGCAAATAGTTAAGGATGTGGGCTGTTCTAGTTTTAGGGAAATGCGAAGTTTAGCTCAGGATAGGAAAGAGTGGAGGTACGTGTCCAATCAGTCTTAGGACTGCCGACCTTATGATAATGATGATGATGATGTAAATTATGTATGAAATATACCATAGGGATATAGAATTGTATGTAGCCATCAATGGGCGGCATGATGCTTTGAAAAGTACGAGGTAGTATAGGAAAAAATTTCCACAAATAGCTTAAGTGAAGGTATACAGGTAGAACAAGTCGTTCACTGAACATGAAAATTTCATATTTATTTGTCGATAATTTTCCTTTTTATATCACACAAGCTAGATTGCATGATTTGTTGGACGTGTCTATCTGGGAATATCACCTGCTTCTGTGGAAGCCGATTTTAGCTATCCAAACTCTTACAATTACTAGAAAGCTTTAAACTGCATTTGTTGGACTTGTTACTTTATTATTTTTATGAAAGATGACTTAAAAGGAAACGTTGATAAGTCCTTGTAAGACTATTTTGTGTATATGCAATGTATTAAATTTTGAGAAATTGGGCAGTTTCCTATTTATATTTGTAACAAGTTTTGGTATTCAATTTGTTCTTTCAGCATTGAAATTAAGACATTTTTTTTTTTTCAAAAAGTTTTTTTAACGTATCTCCATACAGGCATGTATTTTAGGGGTTTTGACTGACGCTATTTCAACAACTAATTCAGAATCTGATCTATTAATAATAAGACAATTTCTTTGAAATCAGTTCGATGCACTGCTTAGATATACACTGCTGATTTATTACTTCAATTTTTCTACGTTTCCTACAGGCTTCAATTTGGTTACTATTGCAATTAATGTTTTACCTGATAGAAATTCCTTTCAAGAGCACTTAAACATATATGTATAAGCATGATCTAATGTAAACTAAATAAATATTTTTTCTCATAATAAAGAGGTCGACGGAAAGTAACCTACGTTCACGTTTTGAATAAGAATAAGCCCCGCTCGATGCCTATAAATTTTAATGTATTAATAGATTTTTTTAAACATGAAGATTTGTGCGGCAACTCTGTCCCAAATTTCATCGTCTTTTTCTAAAAGCTGAATCTAGAACGGGCCATCTCACCCACATCAACGATGTTTAACCACAATACCTTCATAAAATTAGTTGACACGGTGATTTATAAAGTAAACAAGCAAGTAATAAAACTCGATTTGCTTACAAAGAATACGAGTGTTTACTACAGAGAAAGAATTTTGTAAATTCTCCAACAAACGTTGTTATATATATATAGTTAAGCATAAATTTTTTGGGGATCGTTGATAATAACGTTTTCACAATTGTACATAAAAAAAAACGCACAGGTACAATTGGGGCGCCAACAACAAATTTACTTGGAAGAAAAAAAATTTCTTTTATGGGCTATCCTCTGCTTTATATCCCTACTACTAGTTCCATCCTGACTTATCTGACTTCCTAGATACCTAAAATCGGTAACTTCTTCTAATTTTTCTATCTTCTATCTTTATCGAACAAAATAATTCGAAGTGGTCTGTATTCTGTCGAAACTGCCAGACGCGGAAAGCGATTTCGATCTTTTTGGATCTCATCAGCGCGTCGCAGGCAGCTCCGACAGAACACAGACCAACCTTTACCTGCTGTCTTAACAGCGCGTTTTAGAAAATACTACAAATGGCGTGGTGAGCGCCATCTGTAGTACGATGCTACATTTGAGGATTAC